TCCCCAGCGGTTAGGTCCATCCGGTTTCCCCCTCCACAAGTGGTCCAGAACCGGCCTAGCTATCCTACTCAATGCCGTGTCCGATACGTTAGCGAAGCGGCGAGTGAAACTACCGGAAGCCTCTTTACCAAAATTCAAGGGTCGCTTCGAGAAGTGGTTATCGTTCAGAAATTCTTTTCTCGCGATGATTGATTCGCGAACAGATCTTTCCGACGTGGACAAACTTCAATATTTAAAATCGTCTTTAACGGATGAAGCGGCCAATAAAATAAAATTGTTACCGATCGACAACTCAAGTTACAATAAAGCATGGGAATTATTAACGCGGGTCTACGAAGTAGTTCGCGTTCTCATCTCTCGTCATCTCTCGTTACTACTGTAGTGTAGGTGCGGAAAAGGACGTGCGATGGTGAACTAGTGTATGCTGTATTCGGTCGAGTATAAACGTCTTTATTCGGACGAGTCTTACAACGATCTGCCGCCGGATCGGTTCACGTTCTCCCGGGGGGGGGGGGGGGAAGAAGTCGCGCGCTCGTGCCGTGCTCTCGCCTCTCGTACGTTGCTCCCGCGCCCTGGCGGATACGCGTGTACGCCCTTATATCACTTTACCGCGCTATCCGAATAATCGTTCTGCTCTCGCGTAACACTCCTCCCTTCGTAAGGGAAAGGTCCGTTACTCTCGATCGCCTCTGGGATCCGGGTATCTCGTAGGCGGCCTCCTGTTTCGTATGGGACGTCCCTCCTGTCGCGCCGGGGCTGGGTCTGGCTCTTCCATTTCTTCTGCTCGTGGTACCTCTTCCGGGTTCGGTTGTAGCCCTGCTTCGGGTTCTCTGTCATTTTGCGGTCCTACCGCTTCGCCTTGAGTCCCTGGGCCTTCTAGTTCTACCTTCACTTGTGGCTCCTCGAAGTCGTCCCAAAATTCTCCCGATCGGAGGATTTGGTACCGGCGTACCGTTCCCAAACTCGGTCATCGTCCAGTTTCACTTTATAGTGCAGCTTGCCCAGACGTTGCGTGATTCTGCCGTGTTTCCATTTGCCGTCTCTACCATAATTTCGACATTGTACGCTCTCCCTCACCGTAAACTCTCGAATCTTCTTGTTCGCGTTTACACTTGTGGGCGCTTTCTTTATTTGGTACGCACGCCGTATAACAAGTGTGTATTCGCCTATTGAACATTTTCTCGAATGGTGTGACTCGCGTGACGCAATGTGGCGTGATTCTGTATTGTATCAAAAATTCGTGTAAAGCACTTTCTAAATTTAGATTATTGTTTCTAGGGTCTGTTAACATTTTTCGTAATGAATTTTTCATAGTTTGTATGAATCTTTCAGCCTGCCCGTTTGTAGATGGGTGGTACGGGGCTATGAATTTTGGGGTAATTCCGTTAATTTTGAGGAATTGCTGAAATTCTGTAGAACGAAAATTGCTACCATTATCCATTATTAGGGTCTGTGGCACACCAAATTCCGAGAAAATCTCCTTACATTTGTGGATCGTAGTTTTCGCCGTAATGTTTTTCACGATACGCACGAAAGGCCATTTTGAAAACGCGTCTACTAACACCAAAAAGTAAGAATTCATGAATGGACCCGCGTAGTCGACATGTACTCTCTCGAACGGTGCCTCCGCGGCCTCCCATTCGTGAGTTTCAACCCTTGGTGGGTTGTTACGCATTGATTTACAGATATTAGTTTCTTGCTACCATCTCGATAGCTTTATCGATGCCTGACCAGTACATGGTTCTCGCTAAACCTTTCATTTTTGCTACGCCAAAATGGCTCTTATGTAGCTCCCGCAGAAAACGCTTCTGTAATAGTTTCGGAATAACGACTTTCCCGTTACATAGAAGTACTCCCTGTTGTACGAGTATGCTAAACGCGGCTTGGTTGATATTGAAACGTAATTTCGCAGGTACCTCTTTCTTTTTCTGCAACTCGGTTATCATTTTTTTTAACTGTACGTCTTTCGTAGTTTCTCGCGCTATTTGTTCGATCGACACGGGCATACTTTGCAAAACTTCGACTTCGTAGACATCGACTACATCGCATTCCGCGGCGGTTGTTATTGATACGGGTAACCGCGATAGACAATCCGCATTACCGTGTTGCTTCGTGTTCTTGTATTTAATGTTAAATATGTACCCCTGTAAGAATACTGCGTAGTGCTGCATTCGCAGTGCTGTATACGCGGGTAACGCCTTTGACGGTGAGAAAATTTGTACTAGCGGTCGGTGGTCCGTGTAAAGCGTAAATGTATTACCGTATAGATAATGGTGGAATTTCTTGATTCCGAAAATGATCGCGTATGCCTCTTTGTCAATCTGTGCGTATTTTCGTTGCGTGTTTGTCAATGTCTGCGATGCGAATTGTATGTAGTACGCGCTCTGTGCCGTCCGGGTAGCGATGGGATAGCACGGCCCCGACGCCATACGGACTTGCATCCGTCGCGAGGATCAGCGGCAGCTTCTGATCGAAGTGTACATACAAGTACCGTCTCGCTTTTGAATCCTTCCTTGGCAGATTGGAACGCTCGTTCGCAACCTTGCGTCCACTTGTAAGGGACCCCCTTCTGTAGTAGTGTATGTAACGTAAAAAACTTACCTTTTTAAAAAAAGGTAAAAAAAGCACCAAGTCTAAGCTCCAATTCAACCGAATATATTTTGTTACTCTATCTTGTTTGCAAAAGTATAATCTCTACAAAAATATCTTTACTGCAAAAGTATCTTCTTTACAAAAATAGTGTCTCCACAAAAATCTTCTGTACAAAAATATCGTCTCTACAAAAATATCTTCTCTACAAAACTATCTTCTTTACAAAAGTAATGATATCAACAAATTGCGCCAAATAAAACAGCGGATATTTATACAAACTAATTGCTTTAGCATTAGTTTTTGATTAAAAAATGTTATATTTCTTAAAAAATCAAACTAAAGATTTTATTAGAAAAAATAATCGAGTTAATAATAAAACACCGATGAAAAGAATAGCAACTGTTTAGAAATTTAGAAACTCTGTATCTGTTCAGGCGAATTAAGGCGTGTGTCTAT